GACGGGAGTCAGAATGTTTGTCCTTCAAACTATTAATCGATAGAACTCATCACAAACAATGCAGTAAAATGTCCTCCAGATTTTTTGATTTTTTAGAAAAACAATTTATTTTACATATTTCAACAACTTTGTCAATGTGTTAAAAAAGGTCACAGATTTCCTTCCTTTGTTAAAAAAAACAAGACAAAGCAACAACAAAACAAAACAAACAAAGCAAAATTATATTTCATGCCATAAAAACGGGAGCAAACACCAATTCATTATTTTCCACTGAGCACACAACATTATTAAAACACCAGCGTTGTTTAAAAGTGTCTACGTCCCCAATGTGTTTATAAAAGCGGAACTCTAGCCAGAGCCTGGCCCTGATGTTCACCAGCCACACTGCTCTGGCCTCCTGCCCCTCTCCGTCCTTCACTCTGGCCTTCCTGCTTAGATAAATGGCCATTTTGGCTTCCCCTGAAAGATAGTTGAGGAGCTGCCATTTTTCTTTTTCTGCTTTTTTGTAGGCAGCTCCCATGATAAAAACCTTTTCAGTAAAAACCACATTAAAAAGACTAAAAACCGATGTTAAAAGAGAGAAGAAACTCGTAAGTCTCTTGCACTCTGTAAAAACATGATAAATAGTCTCTCGGAGGTCACAGAAGGGCTATTTGCTCAGAACAGTGGGATTAATAACAGAAATAAAAGCGTTGGAGGCGACAGCACCGTGTAAAATTCTCCACTGGAGGTCGGCAGTCCGTTTCTTGAGGGGAGGTTTGTATAAAATCCTCCACTGTGGGCCCGGTCCATTTTGTCCCAGTCTGTTGGACCACACAGTGGGGAGCCTGTCGCACAGTCCGGACCGGTTTATGCCCTTCACACAGTTAAAATACAGAGTCTTCTTGTCTGCTTCGTGCAATGTCAGCGCTTCGGGGCGCGTTGTGGCGAGCAGGGGGCCGGTGAGTTCCCCTAGTCCTGGGCTCAGGTAGATCTCGGGGAAGGGGTCTGCAGGGTCCGGCTCCACATCTTTCTGGCTGTAGTCTGTGAGGTGGCTCCTTTCCTCCTCAGTCAGCCTCTGGTTCCACAGCTCCAGGAGCCTCCTCGCCATCCGGACGGAGTGCAGCCCCAGCAGAGAGCCCAGGGCCGGGGCGTCGCTCAGCGTCGGCCCCACTGCGTCCACCAGCTGCTGCAGGCACAGGACTCGTGCTTTCAGCAGCGCCCCCATCAGGCCTGGGGTACCACTGCTGCTGATGTCCAGCCTTGCTCTGTAGATCAAAGGTTCTCTCAACAACCAGTACAGAGAGAAAGACTGTGGGCACCTTTTATGAATAAAAAAGACTTAAAAACACCCTGATAAAACGGAGGTAGCCCATTTAACTTTAAAAATTTAGAATCAATTAAAAACAGAGCAGTATCCAGCCCCAGGTTGTTTGCACGTCTAAAAATGCAGCTGGCCACGTCCCTCCATACTAAAAACTCCGGACCTGTGAGATATTTCTGTAAAAACGAGTCTAAAAGTGGTCGTCCGGCTGGCCAGGTGGACGAGGCCCTGTCCCCCCTCCTCTCTGGGTAAAAACAGCACCCCTTGTGGCACCCAGTGTAGACCCCCCCAAAAGAAATCCACCATTTTCTTCTGTAAGTTGGCAAGGAAGCCTGAGGGAGGGTCCAGGCAGGTAAGACGGTGCCACAGCTGGGATGCAATCAGGTTGTTTAAAACCAAAACTCTACCTTTAAAAGACATTTGAGGGAGCAGCCATTTCCATTTGGAAAGTTTCCCCTCTATCTTCTCTGTGATGCCCTCCCAGTTCTTCTGGACGATGCTCTCTTGTCCCAGATAAATCCCCAGGTATTTAAACCCATCTTTCCTCCACACTAGGCTTTGGGGAAGAACTGTGAGGCCGCCACGCCATTCACCGACAGCGAGGGCTTCACTTTTTTTCCAGTTCACCCTCGCTGCCGATGCCTTACTAAAACTTTTCACGATGTTATTTAAAAGGTCTGCATCCCTCTGGTCTTTAATAAAAACAACAACATCGTCGGCATACGCCGATAAAATCATTCTTCTACTAAAACCAGGTCAAACCAGGCCCTCCAGGCTAGAGCGTATTTTGCCGAGAAGGGGTTCCAGGGAGAGTGTATAGAGCATCCCGGACAGAGCACAACCCTGCCGGACTCCTCTATACACTCTAAAAGGAGCACACAGACTACCGTTTATCTTCAGCACACTCTCAATGTCCCTGTACAACACTTTGATCTTAGCTATGAAACCAGCGCTGAACCCAAACCTCCCCATGACTTTCCAGAGGAAGTTGTGCTCAACGCGGTCAAAAGCCTTTTCCTGGTCTAGGGAAATCAGGCCAGTGTTATTGCCCAATGAGCTGGAGACCTCCAAAACATCTCAAATAAGGTAGACATTGTCTACCATGGACCTGCCGGGCACACAGTAGGTCTGGTCCGATGGATGACCTGCTCCATAGCTTCCCTCAGCCTGGAGGCAAAGACCTTGGACAGGAGCTTGTAATCCACACACAGCAGGGACACAGGGCGCCAGTTGCCGATGTCCTGCGGGTTTCCCTTTTTTGTTAGTAGCGTTATCACAGCTCTGCGGCAGGACATCGGCATGGAACCAGAGGCCAGACTGTCATTTAGCATCTCTAGGATGTCATCGGCGAGGATGTCCCAGAATGCCTTGTAAAATTCCCTGCATGCCCATCAAGGCGGCCCTCAGCTCCCCTGGGCTTATTGGCCTGTCAAGCATTGCATTGGTCTCCTCCTGGACCTGAGGAAGCTCACTGCAGAAACCCTCCATCAGTGCCTCCTCCTCCCCGTAGAAGAAAGCCACAGCTCGCCTCCTAATCTGGCATGGTTCCACAACCGGCTGCCCTGCGTCACCTAACAGTGAGTGGATCACCCTCCCCTGCCCACTCTTCTTCTCCAGGCCGAAGAAGCTAGAGGGAGAGTCCATCTCTGTGATGGTCTGAAATCGGGACCTGACCAGTGCACCCTGGACTTTAACGTTAAACAGGTCGGCCAGAGCCATTTTTTTCCCTTTGAGGACTTCAAAATGTCCTCGATCTCCTGTGGACTCACTTAAATGTTCTAGTTCCACTATCTCAGTTTCCAGGTCCTTCATAGATCTAGCGATGTCTCTGGTGACGTTGAAGGTGTGCTGTTGACAGAGGAGCCCAATCTCAATCTTCCCGTGGTGCCACCACTGTTTAAGACTGCTAAACTCACTCTTCCTCAGCCTAAAAACACCCCAGAAGTATACAAAGACCTCTCTAAAATTTTTATCACACGTTAATACAGAGTTAAAATGCCAATATGCACTTCTAGGTGAAACGTTTCCAATAAAAACATTACATAAAAGCAAAGAATGATCAGTAAAAACAGCAGGGACAATACTGCACATCTTAAAAATATTAAAATGTTGCTTAAAAACATAAAAACGATCTAACCTGGCTGAGGAGATTTTACCTTCTCTAAAAAGGGACCACGTGTACTGTCGGCAGTCTGCATGCATCCTTCTCCACACATCCACCAGGCCATGAGACCGGACCAGCTGCCTCAGAGCGCGCTGGGAAGCTGGATGTGGCTCTGCGTGATTACGGTCTTTCAAATCATTTTCCGTACAGTTAAAATCCCCCCCCAAAAATAAAAAATCCTCCGGGGCACAGCCATTTAAAACTTTATCAATTTTTTGTAAAAACAGCTTCCTCTCTGCACCAACAGTGTCGATGCACGGGACAATAAAGTCTATGATAAATAAACCAATGACTTCCACACACAAAGACGTGACTCTCCATGTCGTCTTCGACAAAAAACTACTCCACCTATTGTTCTGGCGGTGAATTGCTCTGCAACACACGCAAGCCTTTTAGAACCATGAATTGAAGCGAGTGCGTCGACACAACAACACACGACTAAAGACGCAGAAGCATGCGCCAGCCTTAAGGGTTAAAATTCCTGGCTGGACTATTAGAGGTTATCCGCATAAGGAAGTTATCACCAACAGAACTGAGGGCATTCTTTTAAGGGGAACCCCCTCTGCTATACACTAAAGGCATCTCCTCTTCAACTCTGCCACCAGTTGGGCTGCCTGCACCCCCTACATTCACAAACTTCCAGGATGGTGAATCGGGTTTTGGAACGCTTTAGGAGGTTGGGTAAGTCATGCATATAACTGAACTGTCATTATATTCACATAGCTTGTATATTGGCATTTCATTTGCCCAGTGGCCTGTTGTAGCAGTATCAGCGCTAAGCAGTTCAGACAAATTTATTCAAGGGGATTTTCTCTCATGACCATAGACGTCCTTGCACGCCAATCTAGTAGACTCTGGTCTAACGTGACCTGTTTGCAGTTCCAAAGAAGTAGGTCTTCCGGCAAATGGTTCAGAAATTGTCCGCTGAAAGTATGCAGTGTGTTTGGAGCGCTTGAGGTGATGCGACACATTTGCGTTGCGTTTGGTTAAATTATTCATATGGTGCATTCACACCAATCTAGCCAACATTAATAAAGATATTACTTTTGTGGTCTTGACAATCGAAGGCAGCTATCGCAATGTTGAAAAAATTGCAACTGTTTTCTGTCCAAGCTGTTTCTTGGGAGAGTGAGACAGCATCAAAATGTTTTGAGTTTTTTTAAATCTGACATTCATACTATTTAGCTACTGCTGAGAACATTTGAACAACGTTTTGACATCCATCCATTAATTGTTCAGGCCTAATTTGGCCTAAATTGCACAAAAAACAAAAACTATTAGTCTAAGTCAATATGATGTCTTTAGGTTGAAGAACATTTTTGATGTCTAGTTAAACATGACCCACCCAAAAAGCCTTGCGCGTTTATTCATCTAATCACCAGAGATGACCAACCATGTTGAAACAGTATGTTTGTCTGTGGAGTCCTCCTCTGAGAGGTTTATTTAGGCTGAGCAGTGTGGACCACTACCCATAATCCTCCTGCAGACACACCTGTATAGGAAAGTATAAAGAGCCTGGACTGCGCTGTCCAACATCAACCTTCAAAGAGTCTCCCCACATCAGCTCCACAGCCACCAGCCCCAACGTGAAGATGACTCCCACTGCTAGTCTGCTGCTGCTGCTCCTGCTGGGGTTCTCAGAAGCATATCCTCTCGTTGATGAAGGAAGCGAAGCAAATGACCAAATGGACGAAGATGACAGCATCGATATCAGCACCAGGATTCTGAACTCCAACAACGGCTCCAATGAGATGCTGCTGCAAGGAGACGTGTTGGTTCCCACTACCAGAAATGCAATGAAGTGCTTTTACCAGCAGTGCCTCTGGAAGAAAGCCTCCAACGGCTTGGTGACGATTCCCTTCGTCATCAGCAATGAGTTCACCGGCGCAGAGACGCAGGTCATCGACAGAGGCTTGAAGTCCTTCCACACAGGCACCTGCATCCGCTTTGTCCCCCGTAGCAACGAGAACGACCACATAAGCATCGAGAGCAGAGGCGGATGCTTCTCTTCTATGGGCAGAACAGGTGGCAGACAGGTAGTCTCTCTCAACAGACAGGGCTGCGTCTACTATGGCATCGTCCAGCACGAGGTCAACCACGCTCTGGGCTTCAATCACGAGCAGACCAGGAGCGACCGTGATAGCTACGTTCGGATCAACTGGGAGAACATCAACCCTCAGAATGCCTACAACTTCCAGAAGGAGGACACCAACAACCTGAACACTCCCTACGACTACTCCTCCATCATGCACTATGGAAAAAACGCCTTTTCTATCAATGGAAGGGACTCCATCACTCCCATCCCCAACGCAAACGCCCAGATCGGCCAGAGGAACGAAATGTCCTATTGGGATATCAAGAGGATCAACCTCCTTTATGGGTGCTAACAACAAAGCTTCCTGTCCGTTCTGATCCAAAGTTATCAACCAGCAAAACAATCGAAATGTTTTCCAGTAATCTGTACTTCATCAAAAACAACAAGAACCTGCGATCATTTGCAACTATAGATTTCACTTCCTGTGACAGTATTCTTTCCCTCATGCCGACAATACCTGTAAAAACGTCAGCACAAACTAAGTCAAAATAAAGTTTAATAGCAGCATTTGTCCGTCTACATTCCACTTTTGATTCAGCCATTTCCTTTCCCTCCATAACTTTGAATTGATCACGACTTTGTAACGTCCCACTGAGGCCATTGTATTGTGCCAAAGTGCTTTAAAACACTTAACCCATAGTAATTAATTGAAAGTTGTTTTGTGGCTTACTCACCTAGTTTGTCACATATGCGTTAGTGGTACAGTACTGTCGGATGATCTTGACAGTACAGGAACTGGGTGTTTTAAGACAGCGCTGTAATGCCTCCCAACAACAAAACCAAGTGGTTGGTCGGTCGAGATGTTAGGCTCCTCATGTAGCCCATCCACAGCCGGTACCTACAGTAGTTTGTCACATATGCGTTAGTGGTACAGTACTGTCGGATGATCTTGACAGCTCCTCACGTAGCCCATCCACAACGGGTACCTACAGTACCGAGGTTCGGACAGGACCACCACCTGCTTCTGACTCAAGCATTAACCTAATTAAATAGGCACAAGGGGATATGGTTAGGAGGGATGCCATTATGTACTGCCATGCTGGTATTAATGTAAAAACCCATAAAACTCTGGTCACTACATTGTTCATTTCACTGCATATCTAAGTAAGCGTGGAGGACAGTCTAGAGGGCACTTATGACATTTCCTTATCCAATTGGATAACGTTATATTTATTTCGTCGAAGCCTCGCTCCACCCACGTCTGCTCAGGAATTTGACTTGGCATTTGGTGTGTGACAGTAGACAGTGTAAAAATAGACAACAAGACAGCAGTGCACAAGTGGTAAAATAAAATGAAATGCTAATGCTATGGGTTAGTAGAATAAGGCTATGGGTTAGTATAAAACAAGAGAATAAAGTTAAAGTTAACAATAAAAAATATTTAAAAAGTTTAAAAATATAAAAAAATAAAGTGCACTAGCGAACAAGTGACAAAGTGACGAGTGACGACAATGTGACGAGTGAAAAATGACAGTTAAAAAGTGACATGTGCAGTATGAAAGAGAGTGACCGGTGGAATGTCAGAGTCAGTCAGTGGGGACCGGGCTCTGTTGATGAGCCCGACTGCCGACGGGAAGAAACCTCTGCTGAGCCTTCCTGGTGATGGAGCTGATGTTTAGCTCCCACTTGAGGTCCTGGGTGATGATGGAGCCCAGGAAACGGAAGGAATCCACAATGGTGACGGGGGAGTCGCACAGCGTAATGGGGGAGGGTGGGGCTCTGTTCCGCCGGAAATCCACAACCATCTCCACTGTCTTTAGAGCTCCAGGTTGTTCTGACTGCACCACGACACCAGATGGTCAGACTCCCATCTGTAGATGGACTCATCCCCACCGGAGATCAGTCCAATGAGGGTGGTGTCATCCGCAAACTTCAGGAGCTTGACGGACTGGTGAGTGGAGGTGCAGCTGTTGGTGTACAGGGAGAGACACGTCCCGGCAGCTACTGATGCATCCGGCTTCGCTGGCCGAGTAACTGGGGGTACTGTTCCTTAAAATAAGAATAGAATGTTTAACAATGGTGCAATCAAGAAGCTGCCCTAAAATCTGGCTTTGAGGTGGAACTAAAATAGACGCAATCAGTGGTAACTTAAGGCTTATTATTTTCAAACGAACAAATCTGACGGCAATAAAACTGAAGTAATTTTCTTTGGAAGACAGTCTTTTGCCAACATTAGACCTTCTCATCCTTTTCAGTTTAACCATTCAATTCAGGATTGAAGTGTGTCAAATAATGTGAAAGTGACAAGTGACCAGTGTATGTGTATGTGGAGTGTGAAGGGAGTGATTGGTGGAAAAAGGGATGACAGAGTCAGTCAGTGGGGGACCCGCGCTCTGTTGATGAGCCCAACTGCTGACGGGAAGAAACTGTTTGTGTGGCGGGAATTCTCGGTCCTGACGTACCTCAGCCTCGTGCCAGATGGAAGGGGCACAAACAATTTGGACCAGGGGGAAAGGGGTCGGCAACAATATTTTTAGCCCGCTTTATGGTCGCGGAAGCAAACAAATCCTGGAGAGACGGCAGATTGCAGCTGATCACCCAGATGAAGATGAGGGTAACACACACTGCTCCTTTGTTCGAGCGTCTGTGAGAGCAAGTCCTCTCATCCTTCTGGACCTCTCTGCTGCATTTGACACGGTCAACCACCAGATCCTTATTTCCTCCCTTCAGGAACTTGGTGTCACAGGCTCTGCTCTCTCCCTTCTCTCGTCCTACCTCGATGGTCGCACCTACCGGGTAACCTGGCGAGGATCTGTGTCGGAACCTTGTCCTCTTATTACTGGAGTTCCTCAGGGTTCCGTGCTGGGTCCCCTCCTGTTTTCGCTTTACACAAACTCTCTTGGCGCTGTCATTCGCTCGCATGGCTTCTCTTACCACAGCTATGCCGATGACACCCAACTAATTCTCTCCTTCCCTCACTCGGACACCCAGGTGGCGGCTCGGATCTCTGCCTGTCTAACTGACATCTCTCAGTGGATGTCCGCCCACCATCTGAAAATCAACCCCGACAAGACTGAACTACTTCTCTTTCCCGGAAAAGATTCGCTTACCCAGGACCTGACAGTCAACGCCCACTTTGACCGCTAAGAACCTCTGCGTCACACTCGACAGCCAACTCTCCCTGACTCCCAACATTGCCGCGACAACCCGATCCTGTAGATACACGCTCTACAATATCAGGAGAATACGTCCCCTTCTCACTCAGAAGGCAGCGCAGGTACTCATTCAGGCTCTTGTCATCTCCCGCCTGGACTACTGCAACTCCCTCCTGGCAGGTCTCCCTGCCACCGCCATTCGACCTCTGCAGCTCATTCAGAATGCAGCAGCTCGACTGGTCTTCAACCTTCCGAAATTCTCCCACACTACTCCACTCCTCCGCTCTCTTCACTGGCTACCGGTGACCGCCCGCATCCAGTTCAAAACATTGGTGCTCACGTACCATGCTGTGAATGGATCGGGTCCAGCTTACATCCAGGACATGGTCAAACCCTACATCCCAACCCGCACTCTCCGCTCTGCATCTGCAAAACTACTCGTCCCTCCCTCACTGAGAGCAAAACACTCGACTAGGTCTCGACTCTTCGCTGTCCTTGCGCCGAAATGGTGGAACGAGCTCTCTGAAGACACTAGGACCGCAGAGAGCCTTCACATCCGCCGCAAACTAAAGACACACCTCTTCAGACTCTACCTCGACTAAAGACTAACAAATTGTAGCACTTAAATTGTACTTGCAACGTCACTCATCTATAGCAAATTGTAAATTGGGTTATTTGAGGAAATTGCATTTTCTTGTTTCTTGCTCTCCTGAGTTTGTACCCTATGGTTGAATGCACTTATTGTACGTCGCTTTGGATAAAAGCGTCAGCTAAATGACATGTAATGTAATGTAATTAAAGTTAACTCCCTTCTTCAGACACAGCTGCAAATCTTTAATTCTTTCTGTCTTTGCACATCAAAGTTAAATACAGACACTTGAGACATGGCTTTAGCACAAGACAGTGTTGTAACATAGTTTACCACTACATGCATCTCATACGACTGAAGCCTAGTTTATGCTTCTGCGTTTTCAGAGAGACGCAAGGACACGCAGACGTAAGAGCCCCTTTTGTGTCCCTTGCGTGCCTTTTCACACCTCATGCGTGCGTCGACCCATTTTTTTTTTTTCGCGGGCTTTGTTGGTCTGCTACATTCTTTCCAAAGTCTCACATTTCTGTTTTCATAGAACAATACCATTATTAAAACGAAGAATGTTTACGAGAGAACGGATCAGATTGAAGAGTTTTTGTCGGAAGAAATCCGTAAATACGACCACTTCTACAACCTGTCATTGGCGGACTCTAAGGACGCGCGGATGGCCTCTGATTCATGGAGGGAGATCTCCGCAAACGTCGGTTTGCCGGTCGAGAGGTGCACAAAGTTGTGGAGGAAAATACAGGACAAATGTGTCCGCGATGAAAAGCAACAGTGTCGATGCACGGGACAATAAAGTCTATGATAAATAAACCAATGACTTCCACACACAAAGACGTGACTCTCCATGTCGTCTTCGACAAAAAACTACTCCACCTATTGTTCTGGCGGTGAATTGCTCTGCAACACACGCAAGCCTTTTAGCACCAGGAATTGAAACGAGTGCGTTGACACAACGGTGCGTAAAGACGCAGAAGCATGCGCCAGCCTTAAGGGTTAAAATTCCTGGCTGGACTATTAGAGGTTATCCGCATAAGGAAGTTATCACCAACAGAACTGAGGGCATTCTTTTAAGGGGAACCCCCTCTGCTATACACTAAAGGCATCTCCTCTTCAACCCTGCCACCAGTTGGGGCTGCCTGCACCCCCTACATTCACAAACTTCCAGGATGGTGAATCGGGTTTTGGAACGCTTTAGGAGGTTGGGTAAGTCATGCATATAACTGAACTGTCATTATATTCACATAGCTTGTATATTGGCATTTCATTTGCCCAGTGGCCTGTTGTAGCAGTATCAGCGCTAAGCAGTTCACACAAATTATTCAAGGGGATTTTCTCTCATGACCATAGACGTCCTTGCTCGCCAATCTAGTAGACTCTGGTCTAACGTGACCTGTTTGCAGTTCCAAAGAAGTAGGTCTTCCGGTTGACCCGCCAACCTGTGATCAATTTAGTTTCGTCGTCTAACATGACTAGTCCAGCTAATGCCGCTTATTCCTAGCCTAACGTGACCAGTCTAGCGGAATCTAGTTACGGCTCATAGAAGATGGAAGAGCGCGATTCATGCAAATAGTTCAGAAATTGTCCTCTGAAAGTATGCAGTGTGTTTGGAGTGCTTGAGTGATGCGAAACATTTGCGTTGTGTTTGGTTTAATTATTCATATGGTGCATTCACACCAATCTATCCAACATTAATAAAGATATTACTTTTTTGGTCTTGAAAATTGAAGGCAGCTATCGCAATGTTGAAAAAATTGCAACGGTTTTTTGTCCAAGCTGTTTTTTGGGAGAGTGAGACAGCATCAAAATATTTTGAGTT